AGGACATGTCTGCTTCTTTTGATACAGTGAATCACCAGATTTTACTGTACACCCTCACCTCAACAGGCATCACTATAACCACATTTTGCAAGTCAGAGTCTTACCACACCAGCAGATCCTTCAGGGTCGCCTAAAGAGGAGAGCTTGCCACTGGAGTACCTCAGGGATCTGTTGTAGGTCCCATACTATTTTCTATTTACACCACAACACTAGAAACTATCATCCAAATACATGGTTTCTCTTATCAATTCTATGCCGATGAGACCCAGTTCCATCTTTCATTTCATCCTGATGACCCCACAGTAGCTGCAAGGGCCTTGCAATGCCTGGAGGATATCTTGGCTTGGATAAAAGACCACCACCTACTGCTTAACCTAGCTAAAACTGAATTTCTAGTCTTACCTACAACACCCCACATTCAACATGGTTTCTAAATCTTGGGATCATCCACCATTAACCCATGTAGTTCGGTAAGGAATCTTGGGGTGACCTGGATGATTAGCTGTCCTACAAAGAGCGCATTGCAAAAACAGCTCGATAATGCAGGTTTGCACTCCTAAATATCTGAAAAATCAGACACTTCTTAACAAATCATGCTGCACAACTGTTAAGGCTGATTTATACTTCTGCGTCAAGAAAATGTAATTGGTCGGCTTGGTAGAGCTGATGAGTGTGGACGGGAGCAGAGAGTGATCATCAGCTTGTGGTACCATCAAAGAAAGGCTATAAGTCACTTTCCAGAACCTTTTCATTCACTGTTCCACGCTGGTGGAGTGATCTCTCAATCGCACACAGACTGCAGATTCACTGGTATCCTCCAAACAACAACTACACACTCTTCTTTTCCAGGTGCACTTCAACACGAAGGAATAATCCTTCAAACATTTAAATGTAATTATAACAAAATTTGGTTGCTTATTTTTGTTTTTTTAACAATGCCATTAAATGTGTTTTGTTACTCTCCAGCAAAAGTGTTGACAGATTTTTTGGGGCCTATATATGCACAGAAAGGGTTTGTGGGCCCCTCCTAGTCATTAGTGGCTGGGGGGCTTACCGTCACAGGGCCCTATGCACTCTCCTAGTCCACTATCAACTGGGCACAAAGGCCTTTGGTTCACCCTTTTATAAAAACAGCTTCTTGAAATGTAGTTAGTATTTTTTTTTTCTATTGGCTGCAAATGTTGCAGTAATGGTGTAAGCATTTTTAAAATGCTACAAAAGAAACAGCTAATCAAAGCAGTATCTAAAAATGGCACAAATTAGCAGTAGTGGGCAACAGTGGGAATGCAATTTGGGATACAAATAACTCTTTATATTACAACAGAGAAAAAGTGAATGTATTTGTTGGGCAGCAGGTGGTATTAAAGCTTGATAAACATCTGGCCAGAAACCAGAAACAAATTATTTGTTACTTAAACATTCTGATTTGTCATTCATGGCACTTATCTGCCATTTTTACCCATTTAATTATAAATAAATATGTTGTCAGTTTTTGTGTCAGTTTGATGTCATATCACTTTTCACTAACTGCTAACCGAAGTAAAAACCTTATTATTTTACCATGCACAATAAACACAAATAATTTAACATATAGCTAAAAGCTTAAAGGTTGTATGCAGCAGTCTTTAGTTTATACTATTACACTTAAATATAACCTAAAATCTTCCTGCATTATATATGGGCTAAGACTCTTGTGATTCTCATAACAATCTTTTAAACTTCATGAAATAAGTGTAATGTGTCCCTGAGAAATAATTCAATCAGATTTTTTCAATTGGATAATTTGGTTGCCTGCATCATGGATCAAACTATGAGTTAGCAAACATTAAAGAAACATTAAAGCACAATTATTGTTATATAGGTCATGCATAGAAAAAAGTAACTGAGTTTTCAGTTTAGCACTCATAGTACATCCTTATATCCATGTTTTAATTATATCTTTATATAATTTATTTAACTTCAAGTCAGATCATTTTTAAAGGTGCCATATAATGAATCTGGATATGTATGGTACATGGAAAGACACACTGTGAGCCTTGAACACCATTGCCTTAAAATCTCAGAGAACATCAGGTCAATTAAAATACAGATAGTAATTTTCCTTTAATAAACATGCTTTAGACTGTGTTTGATTGGCCCCAGTGTTCCCTAGTGAGATTATAGCAACAAAGGCCTGCTGCTGTTTAGGTCTACATTTCGAGGCGAAATGCACTGACAGCTTCTGTTCCTTTTCATGCTGTCACTGACCGATACCTTCTTATGGATGGCTTCTGGTATTACCAGTTTGCCAAGTAACTTGCACTTATTGACTTGGAATCCACTGTGACATTGGGGTTTGAGTCAGTTTCAGAAACCGGATAAAACAACAAATAATAATATATAAATAAATAAATGAATACATAAATAAATAAATAAATAACAGACTGAAAACCTGAGATCATCACAAAGTGTACACAATGGCCTCTGGTGGATTTGCCAAAACAAAAACTGTTTCACAAACTATTTCACAGTCTACAGAAATGTAGACCTGGATACATATCCATTGAACCTCGGTTGGATTATAACAAAGATCACTTTCCCTTCATATATTTAAGTTTGACTAAGCTTATAATAGATGTAACGAGATGAAGATGATATTAAACTTACTATGTATGTTTGTTAGTCTTATTTGAAAACGGGAGAGGTACGGGAGACTAGAGCCTTCTGTGCTGCACCACTACTTTACATTTTTCTATACGTTGCTAAGTTGATGAGACAGACATTGAATGGCAGCGTCGGTGTGCTATTTTAAAAGATGCAACGCTTGTTGCCCAGGGTGCAATGGGCTTAAAGGAGCAGCTCTTAGCCAGGCTGTAAACAGATGTCTGGCTGAGAACTGCTCCTTAAAGTGTCACAAAACCCTTAAACACATATTTTTGAGATGTTGATGGACATATGTGCCAGATTGCTAAAAACACTATTATAGAGACATATTTCACTAATGAGTGAAAATTGGTTGTTTATACATTGTTTAGAGCAAATTCATTCTTCCAGTTTAAAAAGAAATTTTGCAGCAACATCACGACGATGAGGTCATTTTTTAAATTCCAGTGTGGTGAATGGCTGTCAGTACCGTGCCATACACAGTAATGTTGTTGAGTTTTTAGCATGCCTGTGCATTGATTCATTCAGAGTTTGTTTGAACCAATCAGCATGCTCTATTGTGAATGAGATGCAACTTAATATGCATGAGATACCTTTGTCTCTTTTTTAGCTGTTACAGTGTTCAGAGATGCATCTTCCAACTTGTGCTGCCAACCACAAATAAACACAATAGATATATAATTGTTTAGAGGCATGGGACGTCAGTTTTCCATTTTTAAGTGTGCCAAAACAAAAGTGTTATTCAAAACAAACCCCCCGTTTACACTCATTTGTTTTAGCTAAAAATATGTTTTAAAATAAATATAGTCCACACAGGCGTTTCATATTATGTTTCTGAAAGCTCTCCATCTACACTACGCAGTTAAACTGTACACATCATATGATATTACACAGACTCTGGCATGTGCTGAAAGGTATGTCAGTGTATTCGGGAGTCTGAGCTCCAGGTTGTCAGTGGGAGGTTTGAGCACACCTGCCTGGCTGAGAGCAGCAGGACGTCGACTAGCTTATCCTGGATCTGCTGCTGAATCTCATTAGAGATGTTTATGCAGATGACAAAGTTGGTATCGTCAACAGTACTCTTTCAGTTTTTGAAGACATATCTTAGTCAAAATGAATGAAGTTACTAAGTTTATGTTAATCTCACTACAATATTCAGATGGCAAAGCTAGATTGCATTCTCAGATCCACTGTAAATGTTGCTCTTCAAATCACTGTTCAACTCCTCTGCATCCATGTTTGTGTTGCTGATGTGCAAATTAGCTTTTTTTAACGCACACAATGAAACTTCCCTTTTTATGCAAACCCTTACTTCTTTCGCTACTTCACACTCCCACCTAAACAAAGCTGGACATACTCACTTTCCTGACTTTTTCAAACTAGAGGTGTGAAAACAGCCTTCTGAGATAGGGTTGTTTCATGATCCTTTGAAGCCCATCACATGTCAAATGTATATGTCTAAAAAAAAATTTTTTTTCAGTGCCAATCTGAAGGAGCATGTGATCTGTGTAACTGTATCTTTAGTTAGTTTAACATTTATATTATAATATTCTACAAACACATGTAGAATGTGTCAAATAAAAAAAAAACAAATCTTCAGTGCACATGTATGCATTATGTCATATCACTCAGCTCTAACTTTTGACAGGATGCCATTAAATGTCAAAACCCATTCGTTTATGCTGAAGTTGATATTGGTTCCTGTTGGGTTTTTTATATATATGTTAAAGCATCAAAATACAACTCTAAATGCATCTGTTATTCCCGTTTGTCGAGTAGAATTATAATTTAGCCTGCATTTCATCCACAACTGGTGGCTTAACCATATTTCTCTTACTCCTTCTTGATATAATAAACCTCTCCAACCCCTTCTGTTGAAAAGATTTAACAAGGCAACTTCCCAATTTTCTTATTTCTGAGTACATCACGCTTTGTGTGTACTTATCTATGTGGCCTAAGTCAAAACAAGGACATCAAACTATAAAATGGCATGGATATATATGGCCATATAAGTGATTACAGTATAAAATCCATTATGTCTTTGGAGAATCCTTGTAAACCATATATAAAAGTATGCATGTGTGCAAGTAGCAGATCAGAGATCATTAATATTCACAGACAATCCTAATATGCTCAAAATAGAGCTTGCTATTCAAGAGGGTCAATTCTGAGTTTATAAATGAGCATATAAATCCCTTTTTGGACATTTTTTTAAACTTAACTAAGTCACTTTCTGTACCTACCATGTAGATATCAGAGAACAATTTAACATACTGAATCAACACACTATATGGCAGCTTTAATGTTAATAACATAATCAATCACTATACAATGTAAAATCATACAGTGTAACTCACCCAGCATGCATGAAGATGTAGCTAAGGAAGCGCCAGGCTTGCGCTCTAAGCTGCGGGTGGTATGGCAATGGGCCCTTCAGGAAGTATGGCGATGATACCTGCAGAACCCAGCGATTCAGCTGCAGTCCATAATACATAAAGACAACGACCTGAGGAAGATATGAAAAGTACAAAACTGTGATTGCTGTAATACTTGTGTTGTGTTTCAAAGGAAATGAAGCTTTTTAAGGCATAATAGGTGCACAATGGCAGATCCAAAAATATCAAATATAAATATATTCAACACTTCATATTTGAGCAATAATAGAGACACATAATAGACTAACATTGTGACATACATACAGGTGCTGGTCATATAGCTAGAACATCTTCAAAAAGTTGATTTGTGTCACTAATTCCATCCAAGAAGTGAAACTTTTATAATGCATACCTTCATTCCACACAGACTAATATATTTCAAGTTTTTCTTTTCATTTTGATGATTTTGATGACAACTGATGAAAACCCCAAATTCAGTATCTCAGATATTAGACCAATACAACGAAAGGAGTATATATTTATTTTTAGTTACATATAATTAATGTACATATAAATAATAATTTTTATTCTAAGTTAGTTTTCGATTTTGATTATAGTGTAGTGCTGATGTTTACTGATCATCAGCCATTTAAAATTTCCATGTTCTTTCAGAAAACATTCTAATTCGGCTTAGTCCCTTTATACTCCAGGGGTCACCACAGCAGAATGAACCACCAACTTATCCAGCATGTTTTAGCGGATGCCCTTCCAACTGCAACCCAGTACTGGCAAAAATCCATGCATACTCATTCACACACATACACTACGGACAATTGAATTTATTCAATTCACCTATAGTGCATGTCTTTGAACTGTTGTTGGGGAAACCAGAGGACTTGGAGGAAATCCACACCAACACGTGGAGAACATGCAAACTCCATACAGAAATGCCAGCTGACCCAGCCGGTACTTGAACCAGTGACCTTCTTGCTGTGAGGTGAAAGTGCTAACCACTAAGCCACAGTGTTGCAAAACATACTAATGATGATGATAATTTATATTCAAGAAACATTTCTTGTTAATACCAAAGTTGAAAAAAGGTAAAACAGCAGGAGCTCACTCAAATGCTGGAGAGCTAAGCAATTCAGTCATTTGTGAATAAATGTAAATGTAAAGATTTCTCCAATAATAATTGGGAGTCAAATGCAATGTTGACAAAGCTGGACATGATCATATTTTTGGCTGTTGGATTTTGAACAAGCAGGATTTGTTTGTTAGGGCTATTGGACAATCACCTAGTAGCACATTACAATAATCTAAATCAACACTTCTCCGCATTAGACATCGATCGTATATGTCATAGTTTGACAACCTAAAAAAAAAAAAGATTTTACAGATGCTGGAAATTTAAATATCACTGTCAAATTCCAAACTGGCAATGAGGACTTAACTGAACGTAAGAGGCATGAGAGGCAGTGTTGACAACTATTTTCAATAAAAAACAACTAAATTTTGCTCGAAAAGTTGCTAAAGTTCACTATATGACATATATGGATATCCATGTCCTATTTGCACCTCTTTGTATTATGTGTTGTATTATATTATATTGTATTATATTATATATGTTGTATTGTATTATATATGTTGAATTGTATTATATATGTGGTCACGTGCGTTTGCACTTTTAGAGCAATCTATTCCAATGCGTTTTCGACTACCTCTGAAAGTGGTCAAAAGTGGACAAGCCCAAAACATTTTACACCTGTATTTAGCATTGTCCAAGTGATCAAACTAACAAATACAAGATGTGACAAGGCCCTACTGTTGAATGTCTGGATTCTGGAATTCATTTGATCTACAGTGCTCTAATTTCACAGTGCTTATTTGTCTTTGATATAATGAATTTTGCATGTAAAGAAAGTCAGTCATTAATAAACATCTGATGATGCTTTATTTCTGATTTAACTGGCCACTGTATCAAACTGAATTCCTAGCGTTGTGTTTGTTTTCTTCAACTATTAATGTATATATGTAGATCTAGCTGGCTCGAAATCTTTTCTGAAGTTAAGACTACATCCTTCAATCTAGGTTCCATTTTCTGCTTTTCTTTTTTTAGATGAGATGAGCGTGGTTATAGTGCAACAGTGCCCAATTTATTCTCTTTTAAATTTAACGGTGATTAGAAAAGGAAATTAGACAGATAATAATCTGAAATGTCATCACTCTGTTGCAGAATTTTATAATACAATATTTATAATTTTGTAATAAAAAATGTTATTAATCTTAACTGTCTGCTGTTTTCTGTGCAGTGGACAAGGTTAAAGTCAGATAAAAATAACAAACACACACACACACAAGTAAAAGAAAAATAAATTAAGAAGAGTTTTGTAAACGTTGGGATTTTGTGCTCATCTGTGATTCACCTTGCTTAATTGTGTTACTTGGTGATAAAAGACTTTTACAGTTAAATTTAGACAAACTCAAACTTCATAAAATGAAATAATCTTACACAAATCTTTCTGTTAATAACTTTTAATAGCAACTTTGATTCTAACCTCTGTTATAGTGATGGCCAGCATAAGCCATGGTGGTGGACAGTAGGTGTAACTGTCAAAGTACCATTTGCGGTCCACTTCTCTGGGCAAAGTCTCATAGGCAACGTGGCGCACAAGTCTCCGAGACAGACCCAAGCCCACTTCCTCTCTCAAAGCGGAATTCCTGAGCTGTCGACTCCCCTGCAGAATTGCTTGACGAAAACTGTTTGAACGCTTGTTACTCATCTGAAAAACAAGACGCACATAGAACAATCATCTGCATTTTACTGTTTCATTACCCATCATGCATCGACAGCAAGACTTTCATCGCTGTCACAAACGTACATTTGTTTCTTTGTCTAAACATTTACTGTAATTATTCAGATTTTTTCCCCCTTACAGTCGAAAAGATTGTGAAAGTTGTGAAGTGACTACAATAATTAATTTACCCACAAATTACTTTAGAAATATTAATGTTCCATCATCAGTCTTTGTCTATGTCAGTGCACCTCATCCCACGTCCAATACCCCCACCACAGACAGAATGCCACTGGTGTCACTTAGCAACCGATTAAAGATTTCACATTTCCAAGTCTCAAAGCAGCTGTGTAACAAGCAGTGTGTAAGTGATTTTGTGTGTGTGTGTGTGTGTGTGTGTTTGTGTTTGAGACAATGCTGTTCAAACAAGCTTTTCACCACTGAGGCAAAAAGCCCTCCTTAAAAACCTGGAATGTTCTTTTATTCCCTGCCAGGCTCCTGATCGGGAATACAGGTCATACATTATGTAAGTGAAAGAGGCCCAAAGAAGGATGAAGAAATTTAACTGGAAAGCCCCTGAAGACGTTGTCTTTGCCGTGACATTGGGATCAAATGAAATCGTTTAAAACAGGACTAACCTGACCTACAAAGCTTACAGTCTCACATTCTGTTTTTTAAACTGCTGTATTATCTTTGTTAAAAATAGGAATGGAGCCAGCTCTGTAAATAACTAAATCCCCCCCAAAAAAAGATGACAATCTGACACGACAATCAGATTATTCCTTTATATATGGTTCAAACATTAGTAATAGTATGTTTTGAGTTTGCTTTAATAAATATGATAATATAATAAATATAACATAATAATAAAACAAACAGTTTGAGTCAGTTCAGTCTCTCTATAGCAGTGTCAAAAATAAACAAACAAACACAGAACAGCACAACACAACACAGCACAACACATCACAACACAGCACAACACAGCACAACACAACACAACACAACACAACACAACACAACACAACACAACACAACACAACACATCACAACACAACACAACACTTCAGGTTCAATGTGAATTTTCCGAAATTTTGAATAATGTAATTTTCCTATCAAAATATATTTGTTAATCTTTAACACTACCTAAAGACATATCTAAAAAAACAGTAACACCTTACAATAATGAGCTTTAATATTCAATTATGTTAAGTGGAACTTATGTTAATATTAATTTATTATATGCATTATTATTATCAATTAATTATTTGTTCATTCATTCATTCATTTTCTCTCAGCTTAGTCTTTATCTAGTATGCGGAACCGACAAATTACTGTGAAAATTTCCTGAATAAAAATCACAGGAGGGCCAATACTTTTGACAAAGTATATATACATAAGTGTGTGTGTGTGTGTGTGTATGTGAGTATGTATATATATATATATATATATATATATATATATATATATATATATATATATATATATATATATATATATATATATATATATATATATATATTTATAAATTCATTTTCTTTTCGGCTTAGTCCCTTTATTAATCCGGGGTCGCCACAGCAGAATGAAACCGCTAACTTATCCAGCACGTTTTTATGCAGCAGATGCCCTTCCCATCTTCCCATCCCATTAGCCTACCCAATTCACCTGTACCGCATGTGTTTGGACTGTGGGGGAAACCAGAGCACCTGGAGGAAACCCACTCGAACGCAGGGAGAACATGCAAACTCCACACAGAAACGCCAACTGACCCAGCCGTGGCTCGAACCAGTGACCTTATTGCTGTGATATGACAGCACCACCTACCGCACCACCGCGTTGCCCTATATATACAGATAAAGTCAGAATTATTAGCCCCCCTGAATTATTATTGCCCCTGTTTATTTTTTCCCCAATTTTTGTTTAATGGAGGGAAGATTGTTTCAGCACATTTCTAAACATAATAGTTTTAATAACTCATTTCTAATAACTGATTTATTTTATCTTTGCCATGATGACAGTAAATAATATTTTATTAGATATTTTTCAAGACACTTCTATACAGCTTAAAGTGACCTTTGAAGGCTTAACTAGGTTAATTAGGTTAACTATGCAGGTTAGAGTAATTAGGTAAGTTATTGTATAATGATGGTTTGTTTTGTAGACTATTAAAAAAAAATTGCTTAAAGTGGCTAATAATTTTGTCCCAAAAAATGGTTTTTAAAAAATTAAAAACTGCTTTTATTCTAGCATTCTAGAAAAAATATTATAAAACATACTGTGAGAATTTCCTTGCTTTGTTAAACATCATTTGGGAAATATTTTAAAAAGTAAAAAATATCCAAAAGCAGGCTAATAATTCTGACTTCAACTATATATAAATATATATATATATATATATATATATATATATATATATAAAATCAAAAGTAACTAAGTAACTAATTACTTGAGTAATTTTTTCATAAGGTACTTTTTTACTCTTACTCGAGTAACTTTTAAGATTGTTACTTTTACTTTTACTTAAGGTAAAAAATTTCTGCAAGTACTTGTACTTTTACTTGAGTACAGATTTTGGATAGTCTACCCATCTCTGTTGATAAGTTGTTGGTTCATTCTGCTGTGATGGCCCTTGATTAATAAAGCCACTAAGCCGAAAAGAAAATGAATGATTGTTAATGTGTGCTGCTGATCTAAAGTTGTGTTTCTGTGTATTTGTATAATAAAAGAATTGTCAGGGATGTCCAAACTCGGCCCTGGAAGGCTGGTGTCCTGGAGGGTTTAGCTCCAACCTTAATTAAACACATGTGTACAAGCTAATCAAGCTCTTACTAAATATAGTTGAAACTTCCTGGCAGGTGTGTTAAGGCAAGTTGAATCTAATCTCAGGAGTACACTAGCCCTCTAAGACCAAGTTTGGACACCCCTGGATCCTGCAAATGCGAGTTTTGAGCACTGGAGAGCCTGTGTTGCAAGCAGTGACTGTTTAGAGTTTTGTGTCTACAGTTTTAAATTGACATCATGATTCTGAAATTTGTGGCAAAACAGTTGAAAAAAATTGTAATCCGAACAATTTCTGTTGAGAGTATGTGGGCAACTCTTTATACACATACCTGACACACGCTTTACACATTTGCCAAAAAACTAAACAAACACACATCACACTTTTATGATGCACAATGACTTCCTTTAGAACTTTTTGCTGGCTGTTTACATGGACACCACACAGGGAAAGTCAAACAAAACAGTATTTTACACAGCACACAAAAACTGGGACATCTCTGCCATGCACTACTGTTGGGCCAACCATGTTACTGCAGTCAGCTGAATACTGTAAGGTTGATAAAAAGAGAGAATACTCAGAAAGGGACATAATAAGATTTAATCGCTCTCCACCACAATGATCATTATAATACTGAAACATGAATGGCTCTTAATGCATGTAGAATTCCCCATTCTTTCAGTTCTCCTATTGCTTTTTTCTACCAATTATTAGAATCTCTTCTACTTCTTGCTATTACAGTTGTTTATTCTTATACATCTCTGTCCGCACTTTGTTATACTGGACAGTGAATGGGAGCCGAGCTGTAGTGGAACAATAGCAGTGCAGACACCCCAACTGCATGCTCTTCATTCCTCTCGATCCCACTTTCACATGATCAGCTGCAGCCAATAAAAACACAGAATCTCATTCACTGTTGACTGCATGGCTTTATAACACTATAGCTCTATTTTTCAGCCACTCTGGTGGACAATGGAACATTCTGAAGAGTTGCTGTATGTGTGAAAGAAAGTCTGATAGAGAACGAAAGAAGACAGGGGAAAAGGGCAAAGGAGGGTGTGAGACGGAGGGTGGGTGGCATACAGATTTTCCCACAGATTGGATGGCATTCCCATGCAAGTGGAATGGAATATTCCATGTTTTAACTTTAAGTTTAGAGTCAGAAGTCAGAAGTTCTACAAACCTCACCTTTAGTTCATCTGCAGAACTCACCAGGTTAACAAAATCCTGGTAGCAAATCTTTCCGTCTGCATTTGCATCAGCAAGGGCAAGAAGAACTTCAAGCTTGTGAGGGTCCAGTTCTGATCCATGAGCTGCAAGAAGATCTCGGAAACGCTCAGTACTGATGAAGCCTGAATTCTCTGGGTCATACTGAACAAAAGAGAGGGCGGAAAGAGCGAGTTAGAAATGATCCCTGCACTTTGACACTAGAACAGTGGAGTAATATTCAGAGATTAACATTTTTATAATATTAATGCAAAATTAATGAAATTGAATAATCATTACTGAAGAATTCACCCAATTTGAGGACTACAAGCAAAGAGACATTGTTACCTAAGAAAAAAGATGAAAGGTTTCTAAGATAATACCTTTATGAAATAGACATGAAATAGCATTAACAGCAGGGGCGCCTCCAAGGGGTGGCCAGGGGTGGCCACGGCCACCCCTCGGTAAACTCTGGCCACCCCTGTGGCCACCCCTTTGGCCACCCCAATATAATTTTGCGGTTGACATTATTGATTTAAATGAACTTATAAATTCCCAATATTTAGATAAATAAATAAATACATAAATAAATAAATAAAATGCAGTCACTAAATTATTGTTGGTGTTACTGACGTAGCTCTCCCCCTCTGGTTCAATGCTGGTGAAAGCAAACTGACGCATGCGCGCGGAAAACCATTCCCGCGCGCCTCACGCACTCCTGTATGAATCCCGGTTGGTTGTTTGCATGCACGCCGACATAATAGGCACCGCTCATGCGCCGTGAAACCGGAGTAACAGCCTTTTGTGCAGAAGTGTCGGCACGCAGCGAGTTTTGAAAGTCGTTTAAAGTTTATATAATATAATGATGTTGATGATGATGATGATGTTACTTTCACTAAGCATGCCTTTAAAGCAGAAAGGAGGGATAATGAGTCAGGGAGGTAAGACTTCATAACATGATTTCTCAGCCATGATCTGGTCTAAGACCACAGATAATTCTATAATACATTTTTTTGTATTCTTTAGAATTGTCATAATTAATTTTCATGCAAAAGGTTTCTTAAGTGATGTTGGCATATCACTCCAGTTGTTGTTTTCCAGTAATATTTAGGACTGATTTCTGTTATTTATTTAGAATAATAATTGTATATTAATATTAATTGTATTTATTTAGAATAAATATAAATAAATTGTTATATTTATTGAATAACAAATCTAACAATTCAAGAGAGGTGGGGGTGTATAGGGTGGTTCGCCCAGGGTGTCATTTAAACTAGAACCACCACTACCCTCCCCGATAGACAGCAATGGCTATTTAATATTTACCTTAAGCTACAGTATATCAATAGAAGAAGCTGCATTAATAAAATGGTTCAAAAAGCAATATGGATAAATAATATTATTAGGTATAGTGAGTGTGTATAGTAATGCCTTTTGTTCAGTTTGTTCATTTGTTTGGGTAATTAATAAACTCATTATTCTTTCATTCATTTTCTTTTCGGCTTAGTCCCTTTATTAATCCAGGGTCACCACAGCAGAATGAACCGCCAAATCTAGCACATTTTTACACAGCGGATGCCCTTCCAGCTGCAACCCATCACTGGGAATAATAAACTCATTAATCTTCATTAATTTTAGACATGGCATATCTCGTATGATGTACAATAAATGCACGTAAAAAAAGAAGTCATTTATACAGTATATGAAAAGTGTTTTTAAACTAAACATAGATTTTTATTTGGTTTGCACATGTACTTGCTGAATTATTTCAAAGAATAAATTGCAATATTTCAAGTAGAATTAATTAAATGAATAAAACTACATTATTTCATTTACCAGAAACAAAAATATAACATTACACTGAATTCATTATTTTTTTTTGTGTGCCACCCCAAGATTTGGAGCGGCCTCTTCTGGCCACCCCTAAGAAAATTTTCTGGGGGCGCCACTGATTAACAGTGCATCCAGAAAGCATTCAGAGCGCTTCACTTTTTCCACATTTTTTTTGTTTTGTTTCAGCCTTATTCCAAAATAGATTAAATTCATTAATTTCCTCAAAATTCTACACACAATACCCCATAGTGACAATGTGAAAAAGGATTTTTTTTAAATGTTGCAAATTTATATATATATATATATATATATATATATATATATATATATATATATATATACAGGGCTTTACATTAACACCCGCCAACCTGCAAAATGCATGTAGATTTCGGCAGTGGCGGATAAGACAGACACTCCCACTAGCCACTTTGGCTGGTTGAAAATAATTTTCCCAGATAATAATTCTTAAAAGCAGGGTTCGACAATAAGGATGGTCCAATACACGTGCACAGGCGATCGAGAAGCAACACGACTGACAAAAATAATTGCGTTCGCAACTTCGCGCAAGCAAAGCAGGTGAACACCGAATTAGAGGATAATCACTTGCGCTAACAGCTGAGGTGATGCACGCGACTGTTTATAACGCGTGCGCGCTCCCGTTTCCTTTTGTGAAGCAACTGTGTCTAGAAACACAACTGATGTGATCGGTTCTCTTTCAAATAGACTGGACAAAAAAGGATGCTCATGCACCCACAGTTTACTGCTTTCAAGAGTACCGGAGTTGACGTATTGTAAGCAGCGCCAGTTGCTTTAGCTTTAACCATTCTTTGAACAGATTATTAACGGGTCTATCATTAACCATGCGTGTGTGATTATCCTTTCATTATCACAGTATGTTTTTTACCTGCTTTCTTTTGCATTAATATAGTTTAATTATTATTATTTTTTACAATAACATTGCTTCAATGGGAGAATAACTCCCCATTTATGTGTAGTTAACTGGTGATCTGGGACTTTTAGCCAGGACAGATTACTGTGCATATGTTTTGTCTAATAAAAAGTATAGTATTCAGCTATATTTTGCTTGTTTTGACACATTTAAAATTTGTGGCTAGGAAATAACTGTTTATTTATGGGGTGGTCAGAGATAAATGGGGTAAATCCTTCATTTTGGGCTTTGAAAATTATGAAAACTAATTGCAATATATAAAACCCTGACCCATTATATTTTTATATATTTATAATCTCAAAAATCAGATGTACATAAGTATTTACTGCCTTTGCCGTGAGGCTCTAAATTGAGCTCAGGTACATTCTGTTTCCTCTGATAATTCTTGAAATGTTTCAGCAGCTTAATTGGAGTTCACCTGTGGTAAATTCAGTTAATCAGACATGATTTGAAAAAGGGATACACCTGTCTATATAAGGTCCCAGGGTTGATAGTGCATGTCAAAACACAAACAAAGCATGAAAACTAAGGAGTTGTCGGTAGACCTCCGAGACAGGATTGTCTCTAGGCACAAGGCTGGGGAAGCTTACAGAAAATATTGTGCTGCTCTGAAAGTTCCGATAAGCACAGTGGCCTCCATCATCCATAAGTGGAAGATGTTTGGAACCAACAGGACTTTTCCAAGAGCTGGCCGGCCATCTAAGCTGAGTGATCAAGGAAGAAAAGCCTTAGTCAGTGAGGTGATCAATAACCCAATGGTCACTCTGTCTGAGCTACAGCTTTCTTCTGTGGAGAGAGGAGAACCTTACAGAAGGACAACCATCTGTGCAGCAATCCACCAATTAGGCCTGTATGGTGTGCCACTCGCCACCTGGAATTTGCCAAAAGGCATCTGAAAGACTCTCAGACCATAAGAAACTGATTTTTTTGGTCTGATGAGATTATAATTGAACTTGGAGTGAATGCCAGGCATTATGTGTATTATGTATTATGTATAGAGAAAACCAGACACTGCTCATCACCAAGCTAATACCATCCCTACATTGAAGCATGGTGGTGGCAGCATCATGCTGTAGGTATGTTTTTCAGCAGCAGGCACTGGAACACTAGTCAGGAAAGCGGGGAAAGATGAATGCAGCAACATACAGAGACATGCTGATTGAAAACCTGCTTCAGAGTGCTCTTGACCTCAAGACTGGTGCGACAGTTCATCTTCCAGCAGGACAATGACCCAAAGCACACCAGCAAAATATCTATGGAGTGGCTTCACAACAACTCAGTGAATATCCTTGAGTGGCCAAGCCAGAGCTCAGACCTAAATACTATTGAACAACGCTGGAGAGATCTGAAAATAGCTGTACACTGTCGCTTTCCATTCAACCTGATAATGCTTGAGAGGTACTGCAAAGAGGAATGGGTAAAAATTCCCAAATACAGGTGCCAAAGACAAAATGCATCATCAAAGTATTGAGCAAAGGCTGTCAATACTTATGTAAATGTGATTTTTCAGGTTTTATTATTTTTTTTATTTCAAAAAATCTTTTTTCACATTGTCATTATGGGGTATTGTGTGTAGCATGTTGAGAAAATAAGAATATAGCATAAGACTGTTACATAAAATAATGTGAAAAAGTTAAGCGCTATGAAGACTTTCCGGATGCACAGTAGCTGTTTTACGGTGCATGGCATGTACAAAAGTTGTAATTGAAGCAATATATTGCAGAGCTCTGTCACTTTGGTCGTATTTTCTCCTATTTATTCTTGTTTTGCTGTTTCCTATCTTGTCCCTGTGAGAGTGCGTGGTTCAGAGTATCTCTCACATTATGGGCCCTATCATACACCCGGCGAAATAAGGCGCAAGATGTGTTTGACATGATTTGTTGCAATTTTCAGACCAGCACAGCCCTAATTTTCACATTTTGCACCATGTTGTTTAAATAGCAAATCCATTTGGGTGTGCTGATCCAAAAAAGAGGTGTGTTAAGGCGCATTGTTGGCATGTTGCTATTTTGAAGAACTGAAAAAGACCACGACATTGACCATCTAATAGAACGTAATTAAATATGTAGGCTAATGATGTCTTCAGTGGAGTGCATACAACATTGTTTTTTGATCCACAAAAGTTACAGATTAAAGTAAAGAGTAAAAGCAAAGTAAAGAGAAAGTAAAGAGGCTGAATGAAAGAGGCTTATTCTTTGTCCTTGCACAGGCAGAGCATATTTTTTCCATCCCTAAAATAGCAAAAGTGTATTTGAGTCCATGCACCTTAGAATTTGCACCTAGATCTTTAAAACAGAGAGTTTCAAATAAAGCCCTTTTTACATGTTGTTTCAGGTGAGTTCGACCCATGTGCCTGCTCTCACTTGTTTTGTCTTTTGTAGCA